GAACTTGAAACTTTCCACCTTCTCCACTACAGTCCCGTTGATGTGGATGGGGGGTGCACCCTCTGCTGTTTCCTGAAGTCCACGATCATCACCTTTGTTTTGTTGACGTTGAGTGAGAGGTTATTTTCCTGGCACCACACTCCCAGAGTCCTCACCTCCTCACCTCCTCCATGTAGGCTGTCTTGTCATTGTTGGTAATCAAGCCTGTTGTGTCGTCTGCAAACTTGATGATTGAGTTGGAGGCGTGCTTGGCCACGCAGTCATGGGTGAACAGGGAGTACAGGAGTGGGCTGATCACGCACCCTTGTGGGGCCCCAGTGTTGAGGATCAGCGAAGTGGAGGTGTTGTTTCCTACCTTCACCACCTGGGGTGGCCCGTCAGGAAGTCCAGGACCCAGTTGCAGAGGGCGGGGTTCAGACCCAGGGCCTCGTGCTTAATGATGAGCTTGGAGGGTACTATGGTGTTGAATGCTGATTTATAATCAATGAACAGCATTCTTATATAGGTATTCCTCTTGTCCAGATGGGATAGGGCAGTGTGCAGAGTGATGGCGATTGCATCGTCTTTGGATCTATTGGGACGGTTAGCAAATTGAAGTGGGTCTAGAGTGGCAGGTAAGGTAGAGATGATATGATCCTTGACTAGTCTCTCAAAGCACTTCATGATGACAGAGGTGAGTGCTACGGGGCGATAGTCGTTTAGTTCAGTTACCTTTGCTTTCTTGGGTACAGGAACAATGGTGGCCATCTTAAACCATGTGGGGACAGCAGACTGGGATAAGGAGAGATTGAATATGTTCATAAATGTACTCCTGAGTGGCGCAGTGGTCTAAGGCACTGCATCGCAGTGCTAACTGTGCCACTAGAGATCCTGGTTCGAATCCAGGCTCTGTCGCAGCCGGCCGCGACCGGGAGACTCATGGGCGGCGCACAATTGGCCCAGCGTCGTCCAGGGTAGGGGAGGGAATGGCCGGCAGGGATGTAGCTCAGTTGATAGAGCATGGCGTTTGCAACGCCAGAGTTGTGGGTTCGTTTCCCACGGGGGGCCAGTATAAATTTTTTTTTATTTTTAATTTTTTTTATATATATATGTATTCACTAACTGTAAGTCGCTCTGGATAAGAGCGTCTGCTAAATGACTAAAATGTAAATGTATAAACACACCAGCCAGCTGGTCTGAGCATGCTCTGAGGACGTGGCTAGGGATGCCGTCTGGGCCGGCAGCCTTGCGAGATTTAACACGTTTAAATGCTTTACTCACGTCAGCCATAGAGAAGGAGAGGCCACAGTCCTTGGTAGCAGGCCACGTCGGTGGCACTGTGCTATCCTCAAAGCGGGCGAAGGTGTTTAGCTTGTCCGTAAGCAAGACGTCGGTCTCGGCGACGTGGCTGGTTTTCCATTTGCAGTCCGTGATTGTCTGTAGACCCTGCCACATACGTCTTGTGTCTGAGCCGTTGAATTGCGACTCCACTTTGTCTCTATACTGACGTTTTGCTTGTTTGATTGCCTTGCGGAGTGAATAACTACACTGTTTGTATTCTGCCATATTCCTAGTCACCTTGCCATGGTTAAATGCGGTGGTTCGCGCCTTCAGATTCGCGCGAATGCTGCCATCTATCCACGGTTTCTGGTTAGGGTAGGTTTTAACAGTGGGTAACAGTGGGTATCTCCTATGCACTTCCTGATATACTCAGTTACCATATCGGTGTATTCGTCTAAATTATTTTCGCAAGCTACCCGGAACATATCCCAGTCCGCGTGATCTAAACAATCCTGTGGATTCTGGTTGGTCAGACCAGCATTGAATAGTCCTTAGCACGGGTACTTCCTGTTTGAGTTTCTGCCTATAGGAAGTGAGAAGCAAAATGGAGGGCGGGGGAGGGCCTTGTAAGTATCGCAGAAGTTTGAATAACAGTGGTCCAGAGTTTTAGCAGCGCGAGTACTACAGTCGATATGTTGATAGAACTTCAGCAGCCTAGTCCTCAAATTTGCTTTGTTTAGATCCCCAGCTACAATAAATGCAGCCTCAGGATATGTGGTTTCCAGTTTGCATAAAGTCCAGTGAAGGTCTTTGAGAGCCGTCGTGGTATTGGCTTGAGGGGGGATATAAACGGCCGTGGCTATAACAGAGGAAAATTATCTTGGGAGATAATACGGTCGGCATTGATTGTGAGGTATTCTAGGTCGGGTGAACAAAAGGAATTGAGTTCCTGTATGTTACTACAATTACACCATAAGTCGTTAATCATAAAATATAAAAAATATGCCATTTAGCAGACGCTTTTATCCAAAGCGACTTACAGTCATGCGTGCATACATTTTTTTGTGTATGGGTGGTCCCGGGGATCGAACCCACTACCTTGGCGTTACAAGCGCCGTGCTCTACCAGTTGAGCTACAGAATCATGAAACACACCTCCGCCCTTCTGCTTCCCGGAGAGATATTTATTATGTGCGATGAACTGAGAATCCCTCTGGCTGGACCGATACCGACAGAGTATCCCGAGAGAGCCATGTTTCCGTGAAACAAAGTATGTTACAGGCCCTGATGTCTCTCTGGAAAGAAATCCTTGGCCTGAGCTCATCAACTTTGTTATTCAAAGACTGAACATTAGCGAGTAATATACTTGGAAGCAGTGGGTGGTGTGCGTGCCTCCTAAGTTGAACCAGCAGGCTGCCTCGAGTGCCTCTCCTCCACCGTCGATGTTTTGGGTCGGCCTCTGGAATCAGTTCAATTGCTCTGGGGAGAGCGAACAAAGGATCTCACCCCGTGGGGTCAAAATGATCACAGAACCACACGGGGGGACCTAGTGAATGACCTGCAGAGAGCTGGGACCAAAGTAACAAAGCCTACCATCAGTAACACACTACGCGGCCAGGGACTCAAATCCTGCAGTGCAAGACGTGTCCCCCTGCTTAAGCCAGTACATGTCCAGGCCCGTCTGAAGTTTGCTAGAGTGCATTTGGATGATCCAGAAGAGGATTGGGAGAATGTCATATGGTCAGATGAAACCAAAATATCACTTTTTGGTAAAAACTCAACTCGTCGTGTTTGGAGGACAAAGAATGCTGAGTTGCATCCAAAGAACACCATACCTACTGTGAAGCATGAGGGTGGAAACATCATGCTTTGGGGCTGTTTTTCTGCAAAGGGACCAGGACGACTGATCCGTGTAAAGGAAAGAATGAATGGGGCCATGTATCGTGAGATTTTGAGTGAAAACCTCCTTCCATCAGCAAGGGCATTGAAGATGAAACGTGGCTGGGTCTTTCAGCACGACAATGATCCCAAACACACCGCCCGGGCAACGAAGGAGTGGCTTCGTAAGAAGCATTTCAAGGTCCTGGAGTGGCCTAGCCAGTCTCCAGATCTCAACCCCATAGAAAATCTTTGGAGGGAGTTGAAAGTCCGTGTTGCCCAGCGACAGCCCCAAAACATCACTGCTCTAGAGGAGATCTGCATGGAGGAATGGGCCAAAATACCAGCAACAGTGTGTGAAAACCTTGTGAAGACTTACAGAAAACGTTTGACCTGTGTCATTGCCAACAAAGGGTATATAACAAAGTATTGAGAAACTTTTGTTATTGACCAAATACTTATTTTCCACCATAATTTGCAAAGAAATTCATTTAAAAATCCTACAATGTGATTTCCTGGATTTTTTTTTCTCATTTTGTCTGTCATAGTTGACGTGTACCTATGATGAAAATTACAGGCCTCTCTCATCTTTTTAAGTGGGAGAACTTGCACAATTGGTGGCTGACTAAATACTGTTTTCCCCCACTGTATGTCACACACACATACAGTACCAGTCAAAAGTTTGGACACACCTACTCATTCAAGGGTTTTTCTTTATTTTTACTATTTTTTACATTGTAGAATAATAGTGAAGACATCAAAACTATGAAATAACACATATGGAATCATGTAGTAACCAAAGAAGTGTTAAACAGATCAAAATATATTTTATATTTGAGATTCTTCAAATAGCCACCCTTTGCCTTGATGACAGCTTTGCACACTCTTGGCATTCTCTCAACCAGCTTCATAAGGTAGTCACCTGGAATGCATTTTAATTAACCTTGAATCAGTAGGTGTGTCCAAACTTTTGACTGGTAGTGTACATCACACACACACACACACATACACACACACACACACACACGCACACACAGAGAGAGAGAGAGAGAGAGCCATCATAATGTAAAGTGATTGATGATAGTGACTGTATGATCCTTAGGGTTGTGTCCAAACCATCAGACAATACCTGGGGAAGAACCTGGTATGGGTGGCTGCTGCCTGTATTGGTCTGGGGGTTGTGGAGGTAAACAAATGGCAATATGTCCATCATGTTCTATTATGACAGTATAAGACATGTATTATTGAATCACTTTCACAGTCAGGCAAATGTAGAACTCGTGTGTCAATACATTCCCATTCAACTGACTAATTTGTTGTGTCCCCTTAGGTCTTGGGAGCCTTGCTCAGAATGTGTCTATTTCAAAACTTGAGACAAAGAAGCTATGAAAAAATTAACTGAAAAATTATCCCATCATGACGAATTCCACACACCTGCTACTGTTAGTAAGATGCTGATACTGTGTTTGCTTGTTAACTATTGGATTTTTTGTAAACTTACATTTACATTACATTTTTTTACATTTACCATGCATTAAATGGTTAGTTATATGAAGTTATTAAGATGATTTATTAAACATATTGTATCTTGTTAGGATACATCTCAGGCGAGCTTTCTGGCCACATATATTTTACCCTGTCATTGGAAACTTTTTTAGCTTGAAATGTATTCTTTGTTGGGAATAAAGTTTATTTGATGATGTTATGCTTTTATTTTTATTTAATTTTTTATTTACAGCCAACAACATAAACATAAAAAAGATGAGATATAGCTGCCTAAAATACTGACCACTGAGTGTCAAAAATGACACTACTGTAGAAAGAACTACAACTCCCAGAAACCCTTACAGGAAATAAATCAGTCTAGAATTTATGTCTGACTCAGGACGAACTGAAGCATTAAATCTGAGGTAGAGGCACGAGTTGAAGTTTGCAAAAGTGGCTTGATAGGGAATGATAACCTTACTCATCAAAACTACACGTCAAAGTAAAGGTAAGATATGTTGATATTATTGTGTCGTTTGTGCAGATGCAAGCTGAAACTATTTTCACTGGTGCCTCGTTCTCAGATTAATGCTAGCTAACTAATTTAGCTAGCTCTCGAAACCCTTTTTCTCCATATGTAGCACAGGAGGTTGATGGAACCTTAATTGGGGAGGACGAGCTGGAGGTAATGGCTGGAGCACATGGTTTCCATGTGTTTGATGCCATTCCTTTTTCTCCATTCCAGCCATTATTATGAGCCGTCCTTCCCAGCCTCAGCAGCCTCCACTGATATGTAGCTAGTGTTTTCAGCTGTTACATTCGCCTGAATTTAGCTCCACATAAACTACATTTCTGACGCTGTGTTTTCAGAAACTACAATTCCGATGCTGTGTTAACGTTTAGAGAAGTACATCTTCGCTTTCAAACCGGTTTTTGAAACATGCTGATATGCCCCATATCTTTCATATCAGTGAGAAAGAATATTTCAAATAAATAGTTACTGTAGTAGTTTTGAACAGATCCACAAGCATTGTGTGCCTCCAGTTGATGAGCTACATTTCCTCCCCAGTTACGCTTACACACTGGTGTTCAGAGCACGCTAGATAGCTAATTAGCACAGGTGACCACCTATGTCTTCAGTAAACAAGCAATGTGATATGGCAGTGTGGGAACCCTAACCATATAAAGGTGTGTAGTAATTTAACCTTTTTGAATTTTATTATTTCTTGCTGATATGAAAGATGTTTCCAAAAACGTACCACTTCCCCCGTCAGAAGATACTATAGTCTATGAATGGGCTAGCTAACATGCTAATTACATCTGGATCACAGACTAGACTAGTCAAATGTATTTATCTATCATTTTATCTTTACATAACTAGCAAGCTGACCTTCTGCAGCAGACAATTGTGTAGGCTAAGTTTGTATGTTAGATTTGTCACTGTCTGGTGACTGACTAAATCAGGAATACTCTAAAAGGGAAGGTCTTAGTTACTAGCTACATTCAAACACAGTCTAACTCTTTGTCTTTCTAACTTACTTTCCAGAGAAGTTATTTTCCCTCTTTTGCCGTTTGCAAAGCAACATGTCTGAGGAATTACTACAGAGGGTGAGAGACCTGGAAGGAGAGGTGGAGAGACTGAAGGCACAGCTGAGAGAAACGGTCAAGGAAGGAACTGGGGATGAGATGGAGGTGTCAACCAACTCTGATGGAAAGAAGGATAGCAGCAAGCCTGATGCTGGTGGCAGGAAAAAGGGTGAAAAAAGGAGTCGGGACCGACCGTTTGATTTCTCTGCCCATCCTCGGCGCCATGTTGCACTCCGCTTGGCCTACCTGGGCTGGGCCTATCAGGGCTTTGCTGTCCAGGAGAACACTGACAACACTGTGGAAGCCCGGCTCTTCGAGGCTCTTCTGAAGACTCGACTGATCCAGGATCGCCAGAGTTCTAACTATCACCGTTGTGGCCGCACTGACAAAGGAGTCAGTGCCTTTTCCCAGGTCAGATAACTTGGCCTACTACACCTCCAACAATAACATGCTAATAGTTCTTGAAAACATTGGAGCAATAGCGGGCAACTTCTCCCAACCCAACTCTGTTACGTTAAATAATATGGACAAGTAGGTATCTTGTAGCTCAATTGGTAGAGCACGGCGCTTGCAACGCCAGTGTTGTGGGTTCGATTCCCACGGGGGCCAGTATAAAAAAATGTATGCATTCACTAACTGTAAGTCGCTCTGGATAAGAGCGTCTGCTAAATGACAAAAATGTAAATGTAAGTTTGCAATGCCTGAGGTTAAGCTTGCAAGGCTATATGGTTGCTACCTGGCAATGCATGGACATAAACATGTATATTGTAAGAAATTCCCAACTCCCATTTGGTTTTTGCCTTAACCGTTTTCTTTTTTTCTTGACGTAGGTCATGTCCATAGACTTGCGCTCCACTCAGTTTTGTGGAGGCCTAGGAGTGACCCTCCCGTCCAATGTCGATGCTGGTGTCAAGAACAAAGCGGACGTGGCGGAGCTACCGTATGTGAAGATGCTGAACAGAGTCCTGCCCCAGGACATCAGGATTCTTGACTGGTCACCTGCTGCGGAGGGCTTCAGTGCGCGCTTCGACTGTCAGTCTAGGACTTACCGGTACTACTTCCCACGCGGGGCTCTGGATGTAGCGTTGATGGCAGAGGCTGCCAAACAGTGAGTGGTGCGAAATTATCCAGCACTTCAATTGAAGACAAGTCAAATAGACAATGAGCCATATTGTCTTGTTTACCCTAGATTATTTCTAGGGCAGGTTGCAAAGCTTAGGCCTTCTAAACAATATTGGCTATTGATCCTAAAAATGTCAAATGATACTGACTGAAGCTAAATTATTTAGTCAGATTGGCAGAGCTAGGCTGGGGCAACCCTCCCTGCTTGATAAAAAGCAGGGGAAACACTTCCATTGCTATGTTCTCAACACCACAGTTTGAAATCACAAGTCATTTTAGAAGCTGAACTGAAAGCCCCGCATCTTCTCCTTACTCATTGGTCTCCAGCTACGAGGGCACTCACGACTTCCGCAACCTGTGCAAGATGGACGTGGGCAACGGAGTGCTGCAGTTCCAGAGGACCATCCTGTCTGCCACGGTCCAGCCTGTCCATCAAACTTCCCCTACTATGCCCACTACCACAGACCCATACGACCTCTTCATATTTGAGATCAAAGGACTGGCCTTCCTCTATCACCAGGTCAGAGAATACTCCCAGACTCATTGGACATACACATTTTGGTCTGTGACGTATTGCATATGGATTATATATGAATGTTTTGACACTTGTTTTAGCACTTTGGGTTTTTGAAAATTGCGTTACAAATAAAATGTTTTATTAAAATCTGTTATCACCCAGCACTACCTCCATGCTATACTGTCTGTTGTTCTTCCCACTAGGTGCGCTGCATGATGGCAGTGCTGCTGCTGATTGGCCAGAAGCTGGAGGCCCTAGAGATAGTGGATCAACTCCTGGATGTGAAGACGAATCCCAGGAAACCTCAATATAGGTGAGTTGGTCTAGGCATTGCTATCCAGAGACTCTTCCAAACACTCACTAGAAAAGCAAATAACACATCTATTTTGGACAGCAAGACAAGTCATTAAAAAAACATGTCCGCCATAGCTTTGTCGTGTCCGTTAGGCACCAAACGGAAAAAACCCTCACAAATCTGAACATGTCCAAAACGTGTCATTTTCCATTGTAAAACATTTTTGCCTTAGTGTGCCCTCATGAGCACAACCCAGTACAAAAGCGAGTGGTCTTTCTATTTTTCATTCAGCATGGCGGTGGACTTTCCCCTGGTGCTGTTCAACTGCCATTTTGTGGGGTTGAGCTGGCGCAGGGAGGCTGAGGAGGCAAAACACGCCCTGGCCACGCTGCAGCAACACTGGACCCAGACAGCAGTAAAGACCCAGGTCATCCACGGCATGATCCAAGGTCTAGAGAGCACAGGTCCGTCAATCCTTCATTGAAATCTAATCCAACTTTATTAATCCCCATCCTATTGTCTACCACTGCATAGAGGGAGACTATAGTGTGTGGTGCAAGTGAAGTATAAAGGCTACAGGTAATCAAATTGTATTTGTCACATACGCTGAATACAACAGGTGTAGACCTTACAGTGAAATGCTTACTTACAAGCCCTTAACCAACAATGCAGTTTTAAGAAAAATAAGTGTTAAGTAAAAATAAAAGAAGAAAAATAGAAAGAAAACAAATTATTAAAGAGCAGCAGTAAAATAACAGTAGCGAGGCTATATATAGGGGGTACCAGTACAGAGTCAATGTGCGGGGGCACAGGTTAGTCGAGGTAATATGTACATGTAGGTAGAGGTAAAGTGACTATGCATAGAGAACTGACAAAATAAAGGAAACGCCAACATAGTGTCTTAATAGGGTGTTGGGCCACAACGAGCCAGAACCGCTTCAATGCACCTTGTCATAGATTCTGCAAGTGTCTGGAACTCTATTGGAGGGATGCTAAACCATTATTCTATGGGAAATTCCAAGGTGGTGGAAAACGCTGACTCGGGTGCCGCTCCAGAATCATCCATAAGTGTTCAATTGGATTGAGATCTGGTGATTGAGACTCCCATGGCATATGGTTTGCATTGTTTTCATACTCATCAAACCATTCAGTGACCATTCATGCCCTGTGGATGGGGGTATAGCCATGGTATCCAAAATAATGGCCTGCCCAGCACTTTTATCAGTGGACGCTGCTGAAGGGAGAATGGCTCATAATAATGGCCGGAACGGAGCAAATGGAAAGGCATCAAACACCTGGAAACCATGTGTTTGACGTATTTGATACAGTCCACTGATTCCGCTCCAGTCAATACCACGAGCCTGTTCTCCCCAATTAAGGCGCCACCAACCTCCTGTGAATTGTATTTATGTATTATTATTTATTTTTTAATAAATACATGACCCCAATCATGATGGAATGGTAATTGGTTCATTAACTCAGGAACCATACTTGTGTGGAAGCACCTGCTTTCAATATACACTGCTAAAAAAAATAAAGGGAACACTTAAACAACACATCCTAGATCTGAATGAATGAAATAATCTTATTAAATACTTTTTTCTTTACATAGTTGAATGTGCTGACAACAAAATCACACAAATTATCAATGGAAATCAAATGTATCAACCCATGGAGGTCTGGATTTGGAGTCGCCCTCAAAATTAAAGTGGAAAACCACACTACAGGCTGATCCAACTTTGATGTAATGTCCTTAAAACAAGTCAAAATGAGGCTCAGTAGTGTATGTGGCCTCCACGTGCCTGTATGACCTCCCTACAACGCCTGGGCATGCTCCTGATGAGGTGGCGGACGGTCTCCTGAGGGATCTCCTCCCAGACCTGGACTAAAGCATCCGCCAACTCCTGGACAGTCTGTGGTGCAACGTGGCGTTGGTGGATGGAGCGAGACATGATGTCCCAGATGTGCTCAATTGGATTCAGGTCTGGGGAACGGGCGGGCCAGTCCATAGCATCAATGCCTTCCTCTTGCAGGAACTGCTGACACACTCCAGCCACATGAGGTCTAGCATTGTCTTGCATTAGGAGGAACCCAGGGCCAACCGCACCAGCATATGGTCTCACAAGGGGTCTGAGGATCTCATCTCAGTACCTAATGGCAGTCAGGCTACCTCTGGCGAGCACATGGAGGGCTGTGCGGCCCCCCAAAGAAATGCCACCCCACACCATGACTTACCCACCGCCAAACCGGTCATGCTGGAGGATGTTGCAGGCAGCAGAACGTTCTCCACGGCGTCTCCAGACTCTGTCACGTCTGTCACGTGCTCAGTGTGAACCTGCTTTCATCTGTGAAGAGCACAGGGCGCCAGTGGCGAATTTGCCAATCTTGGTGTTCTCTGGCAAATGCCAAACGTCCTGCACGGTGTTGGGCTGTAAGCACAACCCCCACCTGTGGACGTCGGGCCCTCATACCACCCTCATGGAGTCTGTTTCTGACCGTTTGAGCAGACACATGCACATTTGTGGCCTGCTGGAGGTCATTTTGCAGGACTCTGGCAGTGCTCCTCCTGCTCCTCCTTGCACAAAGGCGGAGGTAGCGGTCCTGCTGCTGGGTTGTTGCCCTCCTACGGCCTCCTCCACGTCTCCTGATGTACTGGCCTGTCTCCTGGTAGCGCCTCCATGCTCTGGACACTACGCTGACAGACACAGCAAACCTTCTTGCCACAGCTCGCATTGATGTGCCATCCTGGATGAGCTGCACTACCTGAGCCACTTGTGTGGGTTGTAGACTCCGTCTCATGCTACCACTAGAGTGAAAGCACCGCCAGCATTCAAAAGTGACCAAAACATCAGCCAGGAAGCATAGGAACTGAGAAGTGGTCTGTGGTCACCACCTGCAGAACCACTTCTTTATTGGGGGTGTCTTGCTAATTGCCTATAATTTCCACCTGTTGTCTATTCCATTTGCACAACAGCATGTGACATGTATTGTCAATCAGTGTTGCTTCCTAAGTGGACAGTTTGATTTCACAGAAGTGTGATTGACTTGGAGTTACATTGTGTTGTTTAAGTGTTCCCTTTGTTTTTTGAGCAGTGTACTTTGTATCTCTCATTTACTCAAGACTTTCCGTTATTTTGGCAGTTACCTGTATGATCAAGTGCTAGTTGTATTATACTCAGGGGTTACATTGGGATTTTATATGTGGGGATGTGTAATGGAACAACAGATTTTCTCCATCAACAGGTGGGACCTCCTCTCCCCATTGCTGGCTGATGGAAGGTACCAAACAGAGGACCTATCGGCCCTTGCTTGAGCGTCCACGCTGCGAGAGCCTGGAGTCCAGGATAGAACACTTTGTTAAAAGAGGCAGGCTTGAACGAGAAGAAGGGGAAAATGGTGATGAAACGGTACACAAGGGCAAAAGGTCGAAGCACTCGCACAACGCCTCAGTCCGTCTGTCCTCCCCGACGTGTCATCGTCCTTCTGACCCCAGCGCCAATCCGAAACCACAAGATTGACACCTGCTAGAGAAATTGGACTTGTCATATAATATTGACTGAATTCTTAATGCTGTTATTTTACTTTTAGCTTTTTTTATGGAGCGGAGAAACAATTGTAGGTTTATTTGTTAGTCTCTGGAATAAATCAATTTGAGATTCATCCTAAAGGGTTGAATTTTACTCAAATATAGATGTGCCTCATTTAAAGTGTGTAATGTAAAACTTGGATAGGGAAATAAAATAACCTTTAATCATTGAAGATTTGTCAAGTTTCATGGCCCACCCATAGAATTAGCAATTATAATGAATTATAGTAATTTAGGATCTCTGTTCCCACCAAGGAAGCTCAAGTCGAGACATTTGTCACAATCAGGAGGAACCTTTCGTAGAATTCGAGTGAATACTGGGAGTTTATTATCGATGCACTGAGGTAAACTAGCTAGCGAGCTAAAGAAAGTTATTTCACCGGATGTATAAATCTGAAGCATCCGGTTGACATTTCCACTCACCACCAAATATGGTGATGAGAGGAAGTCCTATGGCTGGCAGTGGGAGAAGATGGTGTGAGATGGATTTTGACCAACATTATGCAAATATTCTCATCTATTAAACATTTGATCTCAATAGCTCTGCCACCTTTCACCGCAGGTGCGGAAGTGCGACATCGGCGGATGCGGTGGATTTTGACGCATCCAATGAAAAACCCAGGTATCTCTAGTCAAAACGACACCAATTGTGTGCTACTCTATGTACCTAGAACATCTATACTCTCAGAACCGAGATTCTGTAGTTGTTGGCTAAGAAAAGAAGCAGGGCACATCAACACAAAGTGATCCTCCAAATTAGATTTTACAAGGTCAAGGTACACATCAATTATGTTATCACTGAACCAATTTCCATTGCTTATTGTATCAAAATCCTCAGCTGTTAATGAAGACAGTTTCTTCTGAGTTGGCTTAGGAATGCCTTTATTTTGAGAAGAATCACGTTCCTTGCAGTTGACAGTGCATAAGTGAATGACTTATTTCGACCAAAGTGGAGAACCTCTACACTACTTATCCGGTCATATGTGGTCCCTTGTGGCTCAGTTTGTAGAGCATGGCCCTTGCAACGTCAGGGTTGTGGGTTTGATTCCCACAGGGGACCAGTACGAAGGAAAAAGTATGCACTCTCTACTGTAAGTCGCTCTGGTTAAGAGCGTCTGTGCGAAATTATTAAAATGTAAATGTTTAATGCAATGAGACAAAGTGTCTGCAGCAATTTGTTGAGTAATTAAAATATATAGCCCACTGACGACTTTGATGTCTCAGTGCAGTTTAAGTGCCAAAGATGGTCATGACATTTTATACAATTTCACAAATGGGTATTCGTCTGAAAATGTGACTGCTGGAAAATGTATATGTATGTTTGCTAAATATGCAAGGTAGTGTAAAGCTACTAGGTAATTTGATCCTAGCCATGTCCATTTTTACAAGCAAAGTCTGTGGGGCATGGGTTACATAAAAGCTTGAATGTTGAGATCCTTTTAAATTCTTAGATATATTACATCCACTGCTCTGTAGAATTTTTGCTAATTTATTTATTTTTTAAATCCCGGAAATATCACATTTACATAAGTATTCAGACCCTTTACTCAGTACTTTGTTGAAGCACCTTTGGCAGCAATTACAGCATCGGGTCTTCTTGGGTATGATGCTACAAGCTTGGCACACCTGTATTTGGAGTTTCTCCCATTCTTCACTGCAGATCCTCTCAAGCGCTGTCAGGTTGGATGGGGAGGTTTGCTGCATAGCAATTTTCAGGTCTCTCCAGAGATGTTTGATCGGGTTCAAGTCCGGGCTCTGGCTGGGCCACTCAAGGACATTCAGAGACTTGTCCCAAAGCCACTCCTGTATTGTCTTGGCTGTGTGCTTATGGTCGTTGTCCTGTTGGAAGGTGAACCATCGCCCCAGTCTGAGGTCCTGAGCTCTCTAGAGCAGGTTTTCATCAAGGATCTCTCTGTACTTTGCTCCGTTCATCTTTGTCTCGATCCTGACAAGTCTCCCCAGTCCCTGCCGCTGAAAAACATCCCAACAGCATGATGCTGCCACCACTAGGCTTCACCGTAGGGATGGTGCCAGGTTTCCTCCAGATGTGACGCTTGGCATTCAGGCCAAAGAGTTCAATCATGGTTTCATCAGACCAGAGAATCTTGTTTCTCATGGCCTGAGAGTCTTTAGGTGCCTTTTGGCAAACTCCAAGCGGGCTGTCATGTGCCTTTTACTGAGGAGTGGCTTCCGTCTGGTCACTACCATAAAGGCCTGATTGGTGTAGTGCTGCAGAGATGGTTGTCCTTCTGGAAGGTTATCCCATCTCCATAGAAGAGCTCTGTCAAAGTGACCATCGGGTTCTTGGTCACCTCCCTAACCAAGGCCCTTTTTCCCTCGATTTCTCAGTTTGGCCGGGCGACCAGCTCTAGCAAGAGTCTTGGTGGTTCCAAACTTCTTCCATTTAAGAATGATTGAGGCCACTGTGTTCTTGGGGACCTTCAATGCTGCAGACATACCCTTCCCCAGATCTGTGCCTCGACACAATCCTGTCTCGGAGCTCTGCAGACAATTCCTTCGACCTCATGGCTTGGTTTTTGCTCTGACATGCACTGTCAACTGTGGGACTTTATATAGACAGGTGTGTGCCTTTCCAAATCATGTCCAATCAATTGAATTTACCACAAGTGGACTCCAAGTTGAAGAAACATCTCAAGGATGATCAATGGAAACAAGATGCACCTGAGCTCCACTTTGAGTCTCATAGCAAAGGGTCTGAATACACAATGCTGCACTGTGCTTGGCCATATCATGCCAGAGTCTGATTCACCCCTCAGTAAAACAAATAACCTTAAAAGGATATACTTGTAAAACATGAACCCCTTGATAACCGTACATTGGCCATCTTCATTCTCACGTTTTTCTTTCAGTAATTGCAGTGATTTGATTTAATCAGAATTCCCAAAGTTGTTTTTGTACGTTGTTCAGATGTTCTGTTTCTCAACACTGATGTATCTAGTCCAATGCCACTTCTGTTCTGAGCGGCCAAACATCTGAGGTCGGGATTGGCTGTTAATTCCCTGTGCAGCTTACATGGGGCAGTATTATGTAATGACAATGCAAGTTGCTCCCTCTCTGGAGCTCGAAAGGGTCTTCATAACATCTTCATCTGAATGTATGATATCGCCTGAATATAAGACATGGAAATCTAGTGCATTCAGTGTCCAGAACAGGAAAAAAATGTTGCTCGCATGAAGAATGGCCACAGCATCCATTTATTTTTAAATGTTTTTTTATATATCCTTTTCTGAGCGACTGAAAATTTATATTGAAAATGTACTACATAGGAAGGATTGTTCTCTTTAATCTTTCCTGGAAATAGGCCTACCCAGGAGAACTTGTGGTAACACTTCATTTTAAGGGGTCCTTATTACACTGTAACAAGTATTGTAATAATTATAATTCATAGTTCACTGTAATAACATATAACTGATAGTAATTGCAGTCTGCAATTACAGAGATGTAACAGCTAATGCTTGTTACCATGCTTGTTACAAATGTAAAAGTTTCCGATAGCATCCCAATACACCATAAACAGGTCAACATTCACAAGGCCGCAGGGCCAGATGGATTACCAGGATGTGTACTCAGAGCATGCGCTGACCAACTGGCAAGTGTCTTCACTGACATTTTCAACCTGTCCCTGACCGAGCCTGTAATACCTACATGTTTCAAGCAGACAACCATAGTCCCTGTGCCCAAGAACGCCAAGGTAACCTGCCTAAATGACTACCGACCCGTAGAACTCCCGTTTGTAGCCATGAAGTGCTTTGAAAGGCTGGTCATGGCTCACATCAACACAATCATCCCAGAAACCCTAGACCCACTCCAATTCGCATACCGCCCCAACAGATCTATAGATGAAGCAATCTCTATTGCACTCCACACTGCCCTTTCCCACCTGAACAAAAGGAACACCTACAGTACATACTACCTAAATTACCTCGACTAACCTGTACCCCCGCACATTGACTCGGTACCGGTACCCCCTGTATATAGCCTCGTTATTGTTTTTTATTTTTTACTTTAGTTTATTTAGTAAATATATTCTTAACTCTTATTTTTCTTAACTTCATTTGTTGGTTAAGGGCATGTGACAAATACAATTTTATTTTATTTATTTCACACTGCACAAACCACGTGATAAGTGTTAGCCAATTGAAAACCGACTACCTCATTGATACAACTGCAATAAAGATCTGGAGTCTGGTGCCCAGGCCCAATGGCAAAAACGGGTTCACAAACGGTTCACATAAAAAAATACTTTAAATTGTTAACGGTGCATTTGACAATTGGTAAATTACTTTAACCATCAATTAAACCTAATTAGACACATTCATAAACAGTTATGGTTAAAATTGTGAGATAGTCATTTGTGCTTGCCAAATTGTAAGCCTATTAAGCTTGGTTGAATAATGGTTTATAAATGCACTTAAAATGGTCATAAGACAAACTCTTATTCCGTCATGTAACCTTGCAAGGGTTTCACTGTTGAGGAACGTTCTCACTTTTGGATGGGATGCATTGATGCAATTATTTATTCAAGGAATTAAGGCATCATGTCAAGATCTGCCCATCTGCGCAACACGCTTGAAATAAAGATGACCTCGAAGGTGTAACACAGTGTTTTGGGTTTCTTTTGCTGTGTGACCCATTCCTCACCATATTTATGTGTCACTGTGTGTGTTACATCTGTTCTTGTTCCACATTTTCCTAAGAATTTTGACACTACGATTAGTGACACTCTAGATCCAAACTGTTACAGACCTATATCCATCCTACCCTGCCTTTCGAAAGTATTTGAAAGCCAAGTTAACAAACAGATCACCAACCATTTCGAATCCCACCGTACCTTCTCCACTATGCAATCTGGTTTCCGAGCTGGTCATGGGTGCACCTCAGCCACGCTCAAGGTCCTAAACGATATAATAATCGCGATCGATAAAAGACAGTACTGTGCAGTCGTCTTCATTGACCTGGCCAAGGCTTTTGACTCTGTCAATCACCGCATCCTTATTGGCAGACTAAATAGCCTTGGTTTCTCAAATGACTGCCTCGCCTGGTTCACCAACTACTTCTCAGATAGAGTTCAATGTGTCAAATCGGAGGGTCTGTTGTCTGGACCTCTGGCAGTCTCTATGGGGGTGCCACAGGGTTCAGTTCTCGGGCCGACTCTATTCTCTGTGTATATTAATGATGTCGCTCTTGCTGCTGGTGACTCTCAGATCCTCCTCTACGCAGACGACACCATTTTGTATACATCTGGCCCTTCATTGGACACTGTGTTAACAAACCTCCAAACGAACTTCAATGCCATACAACACTCCTTCCGTGGCCTCCAACTGCTCTTAAACGCTAGTAAAACTAAATGCATGTTCTTCAATTGAATGCTGCTTGCACCCGCCCGCCCGCCCATCTATAAATCACTTCTAGGTAAATCCCCGCCTTATCTTAACTCATTGGTCACCATAGCAACACCCACCCGTAGTATGCGGTCCAGCAGGTATATCTCACTGGTCAACCCCAAAGCCAACACCTCTGGATGCCATTCCTTCTAGTTCTCTGCTGCAAATGACTGGAACGAACTGCAAAAATCTCTGAAGCTGGAGACACTTATCTCCCTCACTAACTTTAAGCATCAGTTGTCAGAGCAGCTTACCGATTACTGCACATGTACACAGCCCATCTATAATTAGCCCACCCAACTACCTCATCCCCATATTGTTATTAATTTTGCTCATTTGCACCCCAGTATCTCTATTTGCACATCTTCTGAACATCTATCACTCAAGTGTTAATACTAAATTGTAATTATTTTGCACTATGGCCTATTTATTGCCTTACCTCCATAACTTACTACATTTTCACACACTGTATATAGATTTATTATTATATAGTTATTGACTGTACGTTTTGTTTATTCCATATGTAACTCTGTGTTGTTTTTTATCGCACTGCTTTGCTTTATCTTGGCCAGGTCGCAGTTGTAAATGAGAACTTGTTCTCAACTGGCTTACCTGGTTAAATAAAGGTGAAATATATATATATATATTTTTTTTTTAATGGTTCTTCTCATTGGCCATTGCAAAGTTTTGGCAACTTCCTCCCAAAATTGGAAATCAAATGTTTCATTATACTGCATGACGGCATGTATTGCCATTGAAATAACATGATAATCCAAACATTTATTTTTTCCCCTTTCCAAGTCTTAACTCTCTGGTGCTCCCCAACATCACGACCATCCCCATATAATTTATTTGTCAAATTTGGTGGTTCAACAGCATTTATAATCTGTTGTGTCAAATTATTCTGATCTATGCCTTTATCAGTACGGTCAACTCCACAGTTAAGTCTATCACCACAGACAACAGCATCACTATCAGTACGGTCATCTCCTACTATGGCCCTAGGTCCACCCTTTACTACTCCTTCCTGTGACTCAATTAATTCATGCACTTGATTACACCAGTGTCTGGCACAGACTCCACCACTGTACATAGTTCTTGCCTCACCACCTTACGCTACCTGCCTACTCCTTCCTTTTAGCTGCATAACACAGCGCATAGGCCTATATCGCCATTCTCATCTTTCCACAGCCACTTAAGCCACCTGACACTAATACTTTCTGTGTTTTTTGTAGCAGTTGGCCATTGCAGAATTTGGGCAATTTCCTTCCAAAATGCATTATCAATGTTTTCATTGTGCTGCATAACAGAATGAATTGCAAATGAAATAGCAGGATAATCCAGAGGTATCTGTGTCCTCTCTTTCAGTGTCTGAGCATGCCCTGACCTTACCCTGCTGCCTGCCCCCTTCTCCCCCTGACCTTACCCTGCTGCCTGCCCCCTTCTCCCCCCTGACCTTACCCTGCTGCCTGCCCCCTTCTCCCCCTGACCTTACCCTGCTTCATGCCCCCTTCTCCCCCTGACCTTACCCTGCTGCCTGCCCCCTTCTCCCCCTGACCTTACCCTGCTTCCTGCCCCCTTCTCCCCCTGACCTTACCCTGCTTCCTGCCCCCTTCTCCCCCTTCTCCCCCTGACCTTACCCTGCTTCCTGCCCCTTTCTCCCCCTGACCTTACCCTGCTTCCTGCCCCCTTCTCCCCTGACCACTCCCTGACCGTACCCTGCTGCCTGCCCCCTTCTCCCCCTGACCTTACCCTGCTTCCTGCCCCCTTCTCCCCCTGACCTTACCCTGCTTCCTGCCTCTTTCTCCCCCTGACCACTCCCTGACCTTACCCTGCTTCCTGCCCCCTCCAGTCCCTCCACCAAAACCAGACCTCCCCCCTAATGGGTATCCACTAGAAGTGGGGGCCCTGGAGATCTGGACAACCTTGCTTCCTCATGAAATCATTGTGAGGAATTTAAAAACCTAATTTGTGGTCTGGACAGTGCATAAATGCTGAGAAAATAAGGAGACACTCTGTATTATTCAGAGCCCCATGAAATTACAGCATGTATACATTCTACATACCCTACTGAGTATTGCCTACTAGAATAAGTTTTGCTCTATAAGCCAATATGTATTCCGTATACATTGATTTGCATTGTGGCCTATGGAATGTGTGGAGTAAAAGGCCAGCAACACTCCATAGTATTCAGAGCCCCATGAAATGACACCATATACCTTCTACAGACCCTACTGAGTATTCCCTACAATACTTTTACTGCGGCACCTAGAATAGTTTTTGCTCTGTAAGCCAATATGTTTTCCATATACAGTGATTTGCTTTGGGGGCATTTATTTGACCTTTAAACATGTTTTAAAACCCTAATTTAATTCAAATGTCACTTAAATATGAACAAATATGAATAATTGTTAATGTTTAGACAATTATTTTTCATGTACCATGAATAAATACAGGCTGTTGACACTTTTCTACTATTACGTGAAGGACTTTTATTTTGAACATTTCCTAATTCCGTGACCCGGACGTACTTTTTTATTGTTGCGGACGAGACACTGATCTGATGTGGGTTAGTTATACAAATCTTTGACCTAACGTAACCAAACACTGTCAACTTTCGTCAAGCTGGGCTTGTATTGCACTGAAATCGTCGACAACTGTATGCTTAATGTCTGTGACCGAGATGGCAGTGGCTGTACAGACTTATTGGAGAAAATAGGTATGGTTTTGAAAACGTTTTATCCAACAAGAACAAGGCTAGTTAACAACTAACGTCAGCTAGCGAGCTAACGTTATAGCTAGCTAGCTGCAGTGCAGTCTCTTGGACCAGATTGCCCTAACGTTACCCCCTGCATACTTTTTCATTGAGAGAAAGGACTGCTGAGATCAAAAGTAAGTTAATAAAATATATGTTTACTGATTAATCACAATTTCTAAACTTGCTCACATCCATGTTCATCTGATCACATCCATGGTTATCTGCAACGAACGTTAGGCTAACTTCAAATGTAACGTTAGCTTATGTTATGCAAACAAGGTAAAGGTAATTGCTGTGTCACGTCTGTAATGTTAGCCATGAGAAGGTATTTCAACTATCCACATCACATATGCAATGAACAGCATGCAATAGTCAGTTCAAGTGAAGCCCTGATACATTCGCTTGCTAGCTAATATTCAACATTAATTAAAATTCATGTAATGAAAGGTCTGCTAAATGACGAAAATATAATGTAAATGAAAGCAAATAGTTCATTTAAAGTGACATTAGACCTAACCACAATGAATCTGTAACGTGAGGTGTATTTATTCCAGAAAGCAACTTCCTGTCTCATGTGTTACCAGTAGGGGGCGTTTTGACCCCAGGAAGAGTCGCTGCTACTTTTGCAACAGCTACAGCAGCGTTTCCCAAACTTGGTCCTGGGGACCCCAAGGGGTGCACGTTTTGGTTGTTGGCCTATCACTACACCGCTTATTCAAATAATCAAAGCTGGATGATAAGTTGACTATTTTAATCAGCTGTGTAGTGCTAGGGCAAAAACCAAAACGTGCACCCCTTGGGGTCCCGAGGACCGAGTTTGGCAAATGCTGAGCTACAGGCAGACCCGTCGCCAGACCTCAGTCTTAAGGGGGGCATATGGAATTCATGGGAGGGCAGGGCACAATTATTATTAGCCTACAGTACATATATTTAATAATAAATTCCCTCAAGTGGGGGGGGGGGGGGGGCACAAGCATTTTTGGGTGTGGGTGTGGCTACGGGTGTGGCTACAGGGTTGCCATAAAGTAATAAACCCCACCTATTTCTACAATTTATCTTCTTAAAATGTGATTTCAAACCTAACCACACTGCTAAACTTATGCCTAACCTTAAATTAATACCAAAAAGCAATTTTGACTTTGTGGCTGTGGTAACTAGTGGAAATCCAGCTACAATGCCTTCAGAAAGTATTCATGCCCCTTGACTTATTCCACATTTTGTTGTGTTACAGCCTGAATTCAAAATTGATTAAAAAATACATCTCACCCATCCACACACACAATACCCCATAATGACAAAGTGAAAACATGTTTTTAGACATTTTGACAAATTTATTGAAAATGAAATACAGAAATTTAATTTACATTAAATAGGCAATACTTTGTAGAAGCACCTTTGGTGGCGATTACAGCTTTGAGTCATCTTGGGTATGTTTGTATCAGCTTTGCACATCTGGATTTGGATATTTTCTCCTATTCTTCCCTGCAGATCTTCTCAAGCTCTGTTAAGTTAGATGGGGAGCGGCAGTGAACAGCAATCTTCGTCTTTCCACAGATTTTCAATGGGATTCAAGTCTGGGCTTTAGCTGGGCCACTGAAGGACTGTCACATTCTTGTTCTGAAGCCATTCCAGCATTGCGTTGACTGCATGCTTGGGGTCATTTTCCTGTTGGAATGTATATCTTCGCCCCAGTCTAAGGCGTTTGCCCTCTGAAGCAGGTTCTCATCAAGGATTTGCCTGTATTTGGCTGCATTCATTGTTCCCTCTATCCAGTTTCCTAGTCCCTGCCGCTGAAAAGCATCCCCATAGCATGATGCTGCCACCATCATTCTTCACGGTAGGGATGGTGTTAGATGGTTGATGAGCTGTGCCTGGTTTTCTCCAGACATTTCCTTTTAATTTTTTTGTCTTATCAGACCACATAATCTTTTGCCTTATGCTCTCGTCGTGCTTTTTTCTCAGCAGTGGCTTCCGTCTGGCTACTATTCCATGAGGCCCAGATTGGTGAAGTGCTGTAGAGACTGTTGTCCTTCTGGCAGGTTCTCCTATCTCAGCCAAGGAACTCTGTAGTTCTGTCAGTGGTTCTTGGTCAACTCACTGAACGAGGTCCTTCTTGACCGGTTGCTCAGTTTGGTCGGTCGGACGGCAGGCTCTAGGCAGAGTCCCGATGATGGAGACCACTGTGCTGTTGTAAACTTTCAACACTCTAGAAATTGTTTTGTGCCCTTCCCCAGATAAATGCCTCATCACAGTTCTATCTCAGCGATCTATGGATAGTTCCTTGGACTTCATGGTATAGTTTCTTCTCTGACATGCACTGTCAACTGTGGGAGCTTATGTAGACAGGTGTTTCTTTCTAAATCATGTCCAAACAATTGAATTGGCCATAGGTGGACTCCAAGTTGTAGTGACATCTCAAGGATGGTAATTGGATGCATCTGAGCTCAATTTGGAGTAACATAGCAAAGGGGCTGTGAATACTTATGTAAATTAGATATTTCTGTATTTAATTGTCAAAAAATGTGCAATTTTTTAAAAACATTTTCACTTTGTCATTATGGGGTATTGTGTGTAGATGGGTGAGGAAAACAAATCAATGTAATCCATTTTGAATTCAGGCTGTAACACAACAAAATGTGGAATAAGTCAAGGGGTATGAATACTTTCTGTAATGGGGATCCTAATAAAATAAAAATGTTGACCCTTGTTTTGATGCAGATTATGCACATTAGCCTTCATGTTGATCAACTCAGTCTGACACAGGCCTGTCTGGGGTCTCCAACTCCAGTCCTGGACAGCTACTGGGTGTGCAGTTGCTCTCGACAACCAAACACATTAACAAGGCATTCTGCCTTATCCCAAGGTTTCTCAGCTATAAGCACAGTTTACCAGTGGGACCATGTGAACTACAATCCCAATGCTCTGTTTTAACGTTTAGAAACGTCAATAATCATCGCTTGCGATACGGTTTTCGAAACATGGAACTTATCTTTCATATCAGCGAGAAATAATCGTTCAAATAAAAAATATATACTTATTTACATTTACATTTTAGTCATTTAGCAGACGCTCTTAACCAGAGAGACTTACAGTTAGTGAGTGCATACATGTTTTTATTTTATTTTATTTTTTATACTTGCCCCCCGTAGTAGGTTTGCACATATCCATATGGCTGTGTGCCTCCAGCCGACGAACTACACTTCCACTACACTTCCTCCCTAGTTACGCTTACACACAGGGTTTCGAGCATGCTAGATAGATAATTAGCACAGGTGGTCAATTCTGTCTTCTGTCTGCCTTCCGTAAAAACAAGCGCTGTAACACGGAGAAATGGCCGTGTGGGAACACTAACCCTATAAAGGTGTGTAGTAATTTGACCTTTTGTTTTTTGAACATGATTTCTCGCGGATATGAACGGTACGTTCCTTATGTTTCCAAAACCATACACAAGCGATGCGCGTTAACGCTCAGAATAAGCTTCGGGGCTCTTAACAAAACACCCCGGCCAAAAGATACACTATGTATACAGAAGTATGTGGTCACCCCTTCAAATTAGTGGATTCGGCTATTTCAGCCACACCCGTTGCTGATAGGTGTATAAAATTGAGCACACAGCCATGCAATCTCCATAGACAAACATTGGCAGTAGAATGGCCTTACTGAGGAGTTCAGTGACTTTCAATGTGGCACCGTCATACAGTAGGATGCCACCTTTCCAACAAGTCAGTTCGTCAAATTTCTGCCCTGCTAAAGCTGCCCCGGTCAACTGTAAGTGCTGTTATTGTGAAGTGGAAACATCTGGGAGCAACAACAGCTCAGCCGCAAAGTGGTACTCCACACAAGCTCACAGAACAGGACCGCAGAGTGCTGAAGCGCGTAAAAATCATCTGTCCTCGGTTGCAACACTCACTACCGAGTTCCAAACTGCCTCTGGAAGCAACGTCAGCACAAGAACTGTTCGGGAACTTCATGAAATGGGTTTCCATGGCCGAGCAGCCGCACACAAGCCTAAGATCACCATGCGCAATGCCAAGCGTCGGCTGGAGTGGTGTAAAGCTCGCCGCAATTGGACTCTGGAGCAGTGGAAACGCGTTCTCTGGAGTGATGAATCACGCTTCACCGTCTGGCAGGCTGATGGACGAATCTGGGTTTGGCGGATGCCAGGAGAACACTACCTGCCCCAATGCATAGTGCCAACTGTGAAGTTTGGTGGAGGAGGAATAATGGTCTGGGGCTGTTTTTCATGGTTCCGTCTAGGCCCCTTAGTTCCAGTCAAGGGAAATCTTAACGCTACAGCATACAATGACATTCTAGATAATTCTGTGCTTCCAACTTTGTTGCAACAGTTTGGGGAAGGCCCTTTCCTGTTTCAGCATGACAGTGCCCCCGTGCACAAAGTGAGGTCCATACAGAAATGGTTTGTCGAGATCGGTGTGGAAGAACTTGACTGGCCTGCACAGAGGCCTGACCTCAACCCCATCGAAGCCGACTGCGAGCCAGACCTAATCGCCCAACATCAGTGCCCGACCTCACTAATGCTCTTGTGGCTGAATGGAAGCAAGTCCCTGCAGCAATGTTCCAACGTCTAGTGGAAAGCCATCCCAGAAGAGTGTAGGCTGTTATAGCAGCAAAGGGGGGACCAACTCCATATTAATCCTAACCTAAAGTGTCCGGTTTCACCAAAGAAACGTTTCCCATCAACAAAAACATATCTATAATCTCTAGGAACACTACGTACCAGTCGTCAGGTTAAATGTGTCCCTCGCTATCAAAAACACGTTAATTTTTTTTTTTTTATCCAAGGTCTTCTGTTCAAACGATTTAGTCTGGCTGACACCTAACTCGAAGTCCTCCTGACTTCAGTCTGTGAAGTTGATGTTGTCTACACTATGCGTCGATATTGAAGGGGGCTGTGCTTTTTACTGGTTGGTTCTCCTCTGTCTTTCTCACTCATACACCAACATGGACAGCCACACTAATGCCTCTTTGTGTTTCCGGTGGACAAAGTCAATAGTAGGCTAATCGTTTTCCAGCTTGCTAACAGTCATCAAAATGAAAGCTAAACAGTCAGGGAGCATTGGAAATTCCAAAGGCAATGGATAGAGGACAATTTCTTAGCACATTTTGACGGCTAGGAAATATAATACATTTTCAGTGCGGCCCTCCAGACCTCTGTGAAGACCGAATGCGGGGCAAATGAGTTTGACACCCCTGCTCTAGATGCTGATTTTTGGTCTGTTTTAGCGTTTTTCACACTAATGGTTAAGGTTAGCATTGGGTGAGGGGAAGCTGATCCTAGTTCTGTACCTAGGGGAAACTTGACCCCGGAGTGTGTGCAGGCTTTTGGTCCAGCACTAACAACACTGGCTTTGAGTAAAGCCAGTGTGTCTATGTATGCGGATGACTCAACACTATACACGTCAGCTACTACAGCGACTGAAATGACTGCAACACTTAACAAAGAGCTACAGTTAGTTTCAGAATGGTTGGCAAGGAATGTTAGTCCTAAATATTTCAAAAACTAAAAGCATTGTATTTGGGACAAATCATTCACTAAACCTCAACTCAATCTTGTAATGAACAATGTGGAAATTGAGCAAGTTGAGGTGACTAAACTGCTTGGAGTAACCCTGGATTGTAAACTGTCATGGTCAAAGCATATTGATACAACAGTAGCTAAGATGGGGAGAAGTATGTCCATAATTAAGCGCTGCTCTGCCTTCTTAACAATACTATCAACAAGGCAGGTCCTACAGGCCCTAGTTTTGTCGCACCTAGACTACTGTTCAGTAGTGTGGTCAGGTGCCACAAAGAGGGACTTAGGAAAATTGCAATTGGCTCAGAACAGGGCAGCATGGCTGGCCCTTGGATGTACACAGAGAGCTAACATTAATAATATGCATGTCAATCTCTCCTGGCTCAAAGTGGAGGAGAGATTGACTTCATCACTACTTGTATTTGTGAGAGGAATTGACATGTTGAATGCACCAAGCTGTTTGTTTGAACTACTGGCACACAGCTCGCACACCCATGCATACCCCACAAGACATGCCACCAGAGGTCTCTTCACAGTCCCCAAGTCCAGAACAGACTATGGGAGGCGCACAGTACTACATAGAGCCATGACTACATGGAACTCTATGATGATGCAAGCAGAAGAATCAGATTTAAAAAATACAGATAAAAATACACCTTATGGAACAGCGGGGACTGTGAAGAAACAAACGCAGGCACAGACACATGCATACACACGCATGATATTATACACACACGTACACATGGATTTTGTGTTGTAGATATGTGGTAGTATAGTAGCATGCCTGAGGGCATACACTTAATGTGTTGTGAAATCTGTTGTGAATGTATTGTAATGTTTTCAAAATTGTATAACTGCCTACATTTTGCTGGACCCCAGCTGCCAAGGCAGCAGCTAATGGGGATCCATAATAAATACAAATACCTACTCTGACCTATCTTCATGTTTCTGTAGGATGTTTTTGGTGGGGTTGACGGGAGGAATCGCCTCAGGGAAGAGCACTGTGTCCTCTCTGCTGCGAGAGCTTGGCTGCCCCATCATCGATGCCGATGTGGTGGCTAGAAAAGGTACAGGCTATGGGGCTGAAAGGGATTTTTTTCCTCTCACGCGCACGCATGCTCGCGCACACACAAAATTGGGTCCATTTTGACATTCCACACACTTGTATTTGCATACATTTTAAAACCATTGTGCAGTTTAAAGTCATTGCACAATTTACTTGAGCGTGCCCCAATTATTTGTATTGATCACTATGCCATGAAGAGGAGGCTGGTGGGAGGAGCTATAGGAGTACAGGCTCATTGTAAAGACTGGAATGGAATTAATGGAACGGTATCAAACAAACCACATATTTGACTCCATTCCAATTATTCTATTCCAGCCATTACAATGAGCCCGTCCTTCTATAGCTTCTCCCACCAGCCTCCTCTGATGTCATGCCATTGTATCAGTCGTATTCAATCCAGACTCATTTTGAAAGAACTGTCCTGTTGACATATTTAAAGGGTATGTTTTGACAACACTAGGGTTGAATAGCAGGAACCAGGTTACCAAGAGTTACTGGGATTTCCGGCCCTAACCCACTCCCTTTTCTCGGGATAAGTAACTGTGAGGAACCGGTAAATTACACTGAACAAAAATAAACGCAACCATGTAAAGTGTTGGTCCCATGTTTCATGAGCTGAAATAAAATATCCCAGAAATGTTCCAGATGCACAAAAAGCTTATTTCTCTAAAATGTTGTGCACAAATTTGTTTACATCCCTGTTAGTGAGCATTTCTCCATTGCCAAGATAATCCATCCACCTGACAGGTGTGGCATATCAAGAAGCTGATGAAATAGCATGTTCATTACACAGGTGCACCTTGCGCTAGGGACAATAGAAGGCCACTCTAAAATGTGATGTTTTGTCACACAACACAATGCCACAAATGTCTCAAGTTTTGAGGGAGCGTTCAATTGCATGCTCCCTCAAAACTTGAGACATCTGTGGCATTGTGTTGTGTGACAAAACTGCACATTTTGTGGCCATTTATTGTCCCCAGCACAAGGTGCACCTGTGTAATGATCATGCTGTTTCATCAGCTTCTTGATATGCCACACCTGTCAGGTGGATGGATTATCTTGGCAGAGGGGAAATTCTCACTAACAGGGATGTAAACAAATTTGTGCACAACATTTGAGAGAAATACGCTTTTTGTGCGTATGGAACATTTCTGGGATCTTTTATTTTAGCTCATGAAACATGGGACCAACACTATATATTTTTGTTCAGTATAAATAAAAATCATAGCCTACCTCTTTCAGGTAATAAATTAGACTTATATTTAGCTAATGAATGATGGGTTATGCGTAAGCTTCTAACTTATATCCTCTGTCTCTTGCGCAATACACACCTGCGCTCTGCTGGCGTCTCTCCTTAAAAAACGCTCCTTCCCACTGGGCACACACTGGTTGAAACAACGTTTTTTCCACGTCATTTCAATGCCATTACATTGAACCAACGTGGAATAGACGTTGAATTGACGTCTGTGCTAAGTGCGTTAGCTCTTGGAGTCCCAGGAAAAGCTAGACTAGAATAGCTTGCTGGACATTTTTTAATATTTTGCATTTCGTATACTAATAGACTATTAGAGGGATGCAAGGTCTTGTTTGCTGAATGTTAAATACAGCAGCCAATAGAACTCACGGGGAGTTTGAAAGAAGAGAGAACACACGCGATGGTGGTAGGCTATAGAAGTTAGGCCTATTTATTCAGACCATAATCATTCAATCTTCGTGAAAGCCGTCTGCATCTTATTCCAGTCCTATATTATTCAAGCATGTCATTACAATTATGACGATACAGTGGGGAAAAAAAGTATTTAGTCAACCACCAATTGTGCAAGTTCTCCCACTTAAAAAGATGAGAGAGGCCTGTAATTTTCATCATAGGTACACGTCAACTATGACAGACAAATTGAGAAGAAAAAAATCCAGAAAATCACATTGTAGGATTTTTAATGAATTTATTAGCAAATTATGGTGGAAAATAAGTATTTGGTCACCTACAAACAAGCAAGATTTCTGGCTCTCACAGACCTGTAACTTCTTCTTTAAGAGGCTCCTCTGTCCTCCACTCGTTACCTGTATTAATGGCACCTGTTTGAACTTATCAGTATAAAAGACACCTGTCCACAACCTCAAACAGTCACACTCCAAACTCCACTATGGCCAAGACCAAAGAGCTGTCAAAGGACACCAGAAACAAAATTGTAGACCTGCACCAGGCTGGGAAGACTGAATCTGCAATAGGTAAGCAGTTTGGTTTGAAGAAATCAACTGTGGGAGCAATTATTAGGAAATGGAAGACATACAAGACCACTGATAATCTCCCTCGATCTGGGGCTCCACGCAAGATCTCACCCCGTGGGGTCAAAATGATCACAAGAACGGTGAGCAAAAATCCCAGAACCACACGGGGGGACCTAGTGAATGACCTGCAGAGAGCTGGGACCAAAGTAACAAAGCCTACCATCAGTAACACACTACGCCGCCAGGGACTCAAATCCTGCAGTGCCAGACGTGTCCCCCTGCTTAAGCCAGTACATGTCCAGGCCCGTCTGAAGTTTGCTAGAGTGCATTTGGATGATCCAGAAGAGGATTGGGAGAATGTCATATGGTCAGATGAAACCAAAATATAACCTTTTGGTAAAAACTCAACTCGTCGTGTTTGGAGGACAAAGAATGCTGAGTTGCATCCAAAGAACACCATACCTACTGTGAAGCATGGGGGTGGAAACATCATGCTTTGGGGCTGTTTTTCTGCAAAGGGACCAGGACGACTGATCCGTGTAAAAGAAAGAATGAATGGGGCCATGCATCGTGAGATTTTGAGTGAAAACCTCCTTCCATCAGCAAGGGCATTGAAGATGAAACGTGGCTGGGTCTTTCAGCATGACAATGATCCCAAACACACCGCCCGGGCAACGAAGGAGTGGCTTCGTAAGAAGCATTTCAAGGTCCTGGAGTGGCCTAGCCAGTCTCCAGATCTCAACCCCATAGAAAATCTTTGGAGGGAGTTGAAAGTCCGTGTTGCCCAGCGACAGCCCCAAAACATCACTGCTCTAGAGGAGATCTGCATGGAGGAATGGGCCAAAATAACAGCAACAGGGTTTGAAAACCTTGTGAAGACTTACAGAAAACGTTTGACCTGTGTCATTGCCAACAAAGGGTATATAACAAAGTATTGAGAAACTTTTGTTATTGACCAAATACTTATTTTCCACCATAATTTGCAAATAAATTCATTAAAAATCCTACAATGTGATTTTTCTGGAATTTCTTTTCTCATTTTGTCTATCATAGTTGACGTGTACCTATGATGAAAATTACAGGCCTCTCTCATCTTTTTAAGTGGGAGAACTTGCACAATTGGTGGCTGACTAAATACTTTTTTCCCCCACTGTTAGTACAACAAAACGTATTTCATTTAGCTGTAGGTTTTATTATGAAAGGTTGCCTATAAATGCGTAAATCAAATCAAATTTTATTGGCCACATGCGCCGAATACAACAGGTGTAGACATTACAGTGAAATGCTTACTTACAGCCCTTAACCAACAATGCATTTATTTTTTAATAAAAAAGTTAAATAAAACAACAACAAAAAGGTGTTGAGGGGAAAAAAAGAGCAGAAGTAAAATAAAATAACAGTAGGGAGGCTATATATACAGTGCGGTACCGGTGCAGAGTCAATGTGCGGGGGCACTGGCTAGTTGAGGTAATATGTACATGTCGGTAGAGTTAAAGTGACTATGCATAAATAATTAACAGAGTAGCAGCAGCGTAAAAAGTGCAAATAGTCCGGGTAGGCTCTATTATATTTCACAATTTAAATCAAATTCGCTAGCCTATAATTGTAACTTTGTAGGCTGCATGTCCTGCACTAGAATCGCATGGTTTGAACGAGATGCGTAATTCCAGTCCATGTAATACAGGACAGTAATAGTCTACACTCAAAAAGATTGGCCTACTGGAGCTTGTTTAATTCATTTACCCAAGAGAGCATAGCTACATCTATGGGCTTTTATGTTTTTCTGTCGTGCATAATGTGCGGTAGCCTATATATCATAGGCTATGTATTGGATAACGGCAAAATCATTTGAGCTTTTTTGGGCATGGGCTTATAAAATATATTCTAATGTGTGGCTCATCAGGCTCAGGTAGCATCAGGCTTGAATTTTCATGTCGTTAAAAGCTCTAATCAAATCCAGACATATTTATATGCTTTAGAATGACACTTCCTGTTTTGGCGGGAAATACTGGGTTACCCGGGAGAAAAATAGTTTATTCTCGGAATGGAACATTTTGTAAAATACAGGGAAAATATTCAACCCTAGACAACACAGGCTTCTTTATATTGGATGACTGGGAGAAAGCAGCGAAAAGGGTTGTCATATTCATTAGGCACCAAATGAGGGGGAAAAACTGACTGAGACAGTGAGTTACTACCAGGACTTGTCAATTAAGAAAAACACATTTTTGTTTTCCAATGCAAATGTTTGAGAACACATTCCGTTGCGTGCCTTAATGGACATGACTCATGTCTTAAATCAGGTTAACCTAACCGTGTCCTGTGTCTTTGCCAGTGGTGGAGCCCCACAGTCCGGCCTACTGCCGGATCGTGAAGCACTTTGGCCCCGAGATCCTGCTGGAAAATGGGGAGATCGACCGGCAGAAGCTGGGTCAGCTCATCTTCGCCAGCGAGGACAAGCGGCGCCTGCTTAACTCCATCACCCACCCTGAGATCCACAAGGCCATGCTCAAACAGATCTTCTTCTTCTTCCTCCGAGGTTAGCTAACTAAGTGTAAAAAATAAAAAAAATTGGGTGGTCTTACCATCTACAGTAAATGTATCATATATTGTAAAGACACTGAATTACTTATGTCACAATACTCATATGAAAAAGTGTAAGGAATTCTTAATGGGACATATGGAGAATAAACCATGGAACACCTAACATTGTAACTTTCCATAGAGGGTGGATTGGAGGAGTCACAGCCATAGTGTTCAGTGGAGCGGTCCACAGCTCTGGTGTGAGGGCTCTATTGTAGTGCTGCTCTTCTTTACCCTCCAGGTTATCGCTACGTGGTGCTAGACGTGCCCCTGCTCTTTGAGACGCGGCGTCTCACACGCTTCCTCAACCACACTGTGGTGGTGTACTGGTAAGACCAACTACGGCTCTCCGACCTTTAGTTTCTAAAAGTTTGAACCTGCTTTAAGATTTCAACCTAATATATGATGTGCTCTAGCTTGGAAAATAAACGTGACAATATCTGTTTGCTTCCAACCTTTTAGGACTGTTTTCCTCAAGAAATGTGTTCTGCTTCATGTTTACTTTCCTTCCCATTACATTTTGAGTATTGCGATACTGAGTATCATGACAACTATTGCAGCATGGCGCTTTGGTGTCAGTGTGCTGCGCTCAGAGTTCAGGTAAATTGAACGCTGGCCTCGCGCTGTGCCTGACCAAGCGGGGCGCTCTGCGGCTTGCGCCGATCAAGTGAACGGGCCTTTTAGGTTTCCTAAACCTAGACCAGAGGTGCGTTCAACAAGGGAAAGTACTGTTTCCAAGAGACCATTCCCTTAATGTCAAACAGAACTTACCCAGAACCTGGTCACCATGACCTCAGAATATTCAAAATGAAATGTTCTAGACACGTTTCATGAGAATGTTGCAACAACATTCCTGTGTCCAGTTTTCTGAGGGTTATGAGAATATTCCATCAAAGAATATTCCATGGATACATGAAAGTTCTTGCAGCGTTCCAATGAAATGTGTCTAGAACATTAATATTGAATATTCTGAGATCACAGTGACCACGTTCTGCGTAAGTACTGTTTAATATTTAGGGAATATTCTCCTAACTAATGCCAAAACTTGCTAAATAGGTTTTCAGGACGTTTTTGCTAACATACATAGAATGTTCCCCTAACTAACTGAAAACTGGACACTCAAAACATCTGGGGAATATTACGGGTAAAATAAAATGTTATTTGTCACATGCGCCGAATGCTTGTGTTCCTAGCGCCAACAGTTCAGTAGTATCTAACAATTCACAACAATACACACAAATCTAAAAGTAAAAGAATGGAATTAAGAAATATATAAATATTAGGACGAGCAATGTCGGAGTGGCACTGACTAAAATACAGTAGAATAGAATACAGGATATACATATGAAAGGAGTAAAGCAGTATGTAAACATTATTAAAGTGACCAGTGATTCCATGTCTATGTATATGGGGCAGCAGCCTCTAAGGTGCAGGATTGAGTAACCGGTGGTAGCCGGCTAGTGATGGCTATTTAACAGTCTGATGGCCTTGAGATAGAACCTGTTTTTCAGTCTCTCGGTCCCAGCTTTGATGCACCTGTACTGACTTCGCCTTCTGTATGGTAGCGGGGTGAACAGGCTGTGGCTCAGGTGGTTGATGTCCTTGATGATCTTTTTGGCCTTCCTGTGACATCGGGTGCTCTAGGTGTCCTGGAGGGCAGGCAGTGTGCCCGCGGTGATGCGTTGGGCAGACCGCACCAACCTCTGGAGAGTCCTGCGTTTGTGGGTGGTGTAGTTGCTGTACCAGGCGGTGATGCAGTCCGACAGGATGCTCTCAATTGGGCATCTGTAAAAGATTGTGAGGGTCTTAGGGGCCAAGCCGAATTGCGATGGTGATTGCATCGTCTGTGGATCTATTGGGGCAGTATGCAAATTGAAGTGGGTCTAGGGTGTCAGGTAAGGTAGAGGTGATATGATCCTTAACTAGCCTCTCAAAGGACTTCATGATGACAGAAGTGAGTGCTACAGGGCGATAGTCATTTAGTTCAGTTATCTTTGCTTTCTTGGGTACAGGAACAATGGTGGCCATCTTGTAGGGACAGCAAACTGGGATAGGGAGAGATTGAATATGTCCGTAAACACACCAGCCAGCTGGTCTGCGCATGCTCTGAGGATGTGGCTAGGGATGCCGTCTCGACCGGCAGCCTTGCGAGGGTTAACATGCTTAAATGTCTTACTCACGTCGGCCACGGAGTACGAGAGCCCACCATCCTTGGGAGCGGGCCGCGTCGGTGGCACTGTGTTATCCTCAAAGCAGGCGAAGAAGGTGTTTAGCTTGTCCGGGAGCATCTTGTCCGGGACCATATTTCCAGTCACCTTGCCATGGTTAAATGCGGTGGCCATCTATCCACGGTTTCTGGTTTGGGTAGGTTTTAATAGTCACAGTGGGAACAACATCCCCTATACACTTCCTGATGAACTCAGTCACCGTGTCTGTGTATAAGTCAATGTTATTCTCAGAGGCTACCCGGAACATATCCCAGTCCGCGTGATCAAAACAATCTTGAAGCATGGATTCCGACTGGTCAGACCAGCGTTGAATAGACCTTAGCACGGGTACTTCCTGTTTGAGTTTCTGCCTATAGGAAGGGATGAGCAAAATTGATTTGTGATCTGATTTGGCTCTCCCTTCAGCAAATCAGATCACAAATCAATTTTACTCATCCCTTCCTATAGGCAGAAACTCAATCAAAATTGATTCGTGATCTGATTTGCCGAAGGGAGTGCGGGGGAGGGCCTCGTAGGCATCCCAGAAGGGGGAGTAGCGGTGGTCGAGCGTTTTTCCAGCACGAGTACTACAGTCAATGTGTTGATAGATCTTCGGTAGCGTTTTCCTCAAATTCGCTTTGTTAAAATCCCCAGCTATAATAAATGCGGCCTCAGGATATGTGGTTTCCAGTTTGCACAAAGTGCAGTGTAGTTCCTTGAGGGCCGTTGTGGTATCGGCTTGAGGGGGAATATACACGGCTCTGACTATAACCAAAGAGAATTCTCTTGGGAGGTAATACATTCTGCATTTGATTGTGAGGTATTCTAGGTCGGGTGAACAAAAGGACTTGAGTTTCTGTACATTATCACAATCACACCATGAGTAGTTAATCATGAAACATACACCACCGCCTTTCTCCTTCCCGGAGAGTTCTTTATTCCTGTCTGCGCAATGTACTTAGAACCCAGCTGGCTGTATGGACGGGGACAGTATATCCGGAGAGGGCCATGATTCCGTGAAACAGAGTATGTTACTGTCCCTGATGTCTCTGGAAAGAGATCCTCGCCCTGAGCTCATCTACTATATTGTCCAGAGACTTAACATTAGTGAGTGATATACTCGGAAGTGGTGGATGGTGTGCCCGCCTCCTGAGTCGGATTAGAAGTCCATTCCGAATACGTCTTCTCCCCCGGCGGCGTCTTAGAGCAGCCTCTGGGATAAGTTCAATTGCCCTGGGGGGTATGAACAAAGGATCCAATTTGGGAAAGTCGTATTCCTGGTCGTAATGCTAGTGAGTTACCGGCGCTCTGATATCCAAAAGTTATTTCCGGCTGTATGTAATAACACAAAAAACTTTCTGGGCTAATAATGTAAGAAATAACAACAACAAAAAAATACTGCAAAGTTGCTTAGGAGCTAGAAGCAGAGCTGCCATGTCTGTCGGCGTCATCTTAATGGTAGCAATTAAAAGGGAACAGTTTGAAGATTATGGGAAAATTAGTAGACTAAAGGGTGAGGACACAACAGTTCACCTGACACGACTGAATCCAAACATTCCACTGTTGATTTTGTACATTTTACATTGACTGTACTTTTCACCACATTTGTTGATAACGAAATCTGAAAATACTCATTCAGTAATATTCTGGAAAATTTGGAGTAGGTGCAACATAAGACCAAACGATTCCAAGGGTTTGAGTGAGAGGTCTAACTGGTGTTTCCAAATGGCCACACACCTCTCCAAAGTGTGCACAGTTCCAAAGTAATTTCAATGCACCTTTATGACTCAAAGAATAGTCATAAAGGTGATCTTTTTTTAGCTCTCTTAGCTATGACAATGAGGAACTAGAGCAAGCACACTTGTAGTTATTTTGTTTGGAACACAGTCCTGCATCCCCGCCTTTATACAATTACTGTTGTTTACGCAATCCAAAAACGGTCCTTTATAAATCGTAATCTGGGTCAGGTGGGCATAATTGTAAAGCTTGTTCTATTGCCAACATTACTAGCAAAATTATAAAAAACTATCTTAGTGTTAGGCTTTCACAAGACAATTCAGAGAAGCAGATTGTAATTTTGGTGCGCATAGAACAGAGTCATGATGACATCAAAGCGGTATTTATTATAATCCTCAATGTCAAATTTTTGTAATTTACAGCATTTCCCTCACCCAGACAACAGAAAATAGCTCAAGTTGCCCAATTAGCTGGAGGGATGGGGGCAACTTATTGTCGTGCAGTGCTCAAGTTCAGAACGGCTGTCGGTCAAAACCCATACAGAGCGGAGATGCTGAGCTCTGATGTCATGTATATCATGTTACTGTACAGCCACTGCATTCCAATTTAGGTGCTTATCATTGTCCAAATCTGCCAGTGTAAAGGGTTAAACATGTTCTCTTTTCCTGATCCAGTGACCCGGCCACCCAGCTGTCACGCCTCATGAACCGGGACGGGCTGACCCAGGAGCAGGCGGAGCAGCGTGTGGCCGCCCAGATGCCCTTAAACGAGAAGCGGGGATTAGCCAGTCACGTGGTGGAAAACTCGGGCAGCCGCGAGGACACCCAGCGCCAGGTGCTGCGGCTGCACACCAAGCTGGAGGACTCCATGGAGTTCCTGCTGGCCAGGGCCATCGCCATAGCAACCGCCGCCGGCCTGGGCGGACTACTTCTCTACGCCGCCAAATTGCTGGCGTCTTAACGAATGAAGAGAGAGATTGACGAGAGGCGTCTTCCTATGGCAATGCAGTGTTGAATTGTGATTGAGACTGTGGCACTCTCACCACTGGCCCGGCACGTGTGGTGAGAGGTCCAATGGTCGGCTATGTGTTATGGCTTAAGTTGAAAGTTCGCAAGCAGTTTGTACTTAGAAAGTGGTCTAGTAACGTGAGATGTTTGCTTGTGTAAATTCCTTGTTGCTCTTTGAATGCTACAGGAAACCGTGAACACTTAGGTTTCCTTGGTTTGCATTTTAAAAGCCAAGAAGTTATTTGTGAAAATATTTTTGGAGGAATTGTTCAGCATGGACTGAGAAGCAATACTGGTGATGTAAGAATGTTTTTAGCTCATTGTGCCTATTTGTTTTACATTTTAAAGAGATAGTTCACTCAAATTTGCACATTTACCCTTAGTGAGTGGTCTATGGACCTGGAGAGTCAGCAACCGAAGATTTGGATTTTTCAAATAAAATAAAATGTTATTGGTCGCGTACACAGTTTTTAGCAAGTGCTATAGCGAGTGCAGCGAAATTCTTATGTTGCTAGTTCCTATCAATCAATGCAGTAAATTTCAACAAGCACACAATAATCCCAAATTAAAAAAAATATTGTAACAGATGTAGTACAGCAGTAGATATAGAAATAGTATGTTAATATTATTAAAGTGACCAGTGTTCAATGACTAGGTAGTAGTCCCTAAAGTGCAGGTTAGAGTACCCGGTGGTGGCCAGCTAGTGATAGTGACTGAGGGGCAGAGTAGGGTACTGGGAGGATGGCACGGTACTGGGCGGAGGCCGTCTAGTAGTGGCTTTTTAACAGTCTGATGGCCTGGGGATAGAAGCTGTTTATCAGTTTTGATTCACCTGTACTGTCTTTGCCTTCTAGATGGTAGTGGAGTGAACAGGCCGTGGCTCGGTGGCTGAGGTCCTTGACGATCTTCTTGGCCTTCCTGTGACACCGGGTGCTGTAGATGTCTTGGAGGGCAGGCAGTGTGCCCCCGATGGTGCATTGGGCTGACCACACCACCCTCTTTAGAGCCCTGCGGTTGCTGACGGTACAATTGCCATACCAGGCGGTGACACAGCCTGACAGGATGCTCTCAATGGTGCATCTGTAGAAGTTTGTGAGGGACTTAGGGGTTGAAGAGGCGCTGTTGCGCATTCTTCACCACACTGTTGGTGTGAAGGGATAATTTCAGGTCCTCAGTAATGTGCACACCAAGCAAGGCACCGCTCTGCCAAGGCACTCACCTCCTCCCTGTAGGCTGTCTCCTCATTGTTGGTAATCAGGCCTACCACTTTTGTGTCATCAGCAAACTTGACGATTGAGTTGGAGACGTGCGTGGCCACGCATTCATGGGTGAACAGGGAGTACAGGAGGAGGCTGAGCACGCACCCCTGTGGGGCCGCCGTGTTGACGAACAGTGAGGCAAAGGTGTTGTTGCCTACCTTCACCACCTGGGGTTGGCCCATTAGGAAGTTCAGGACCCAGTTGCACAGGGAGGGGTTCAGACCCAGGGCCCTGATCTTAGTGATGAGCTTGGAGAGCACTATGGTATTGAAGGCTGAGCTGTAGTCGATGAACAGCATTCTTACACAAGTGGGATATAGGGCGGTGTGCAGTGCAATGGCGATTGCGTCGTCCGTGGATCTGTTGGGGCGGTATGCAAATGGTAGTGGGTCAAGGTTGTCAGGTAAAATGGAGGTCCTTAACTAGCCTCTCAAAGCACTTCATGATTACAGTCAGTGCTACAGGGCGATAGTCATTTAATTCAGTTACCTTCGCTTTCTTGGGCACAGGAACGATGGCGGACATCTTGAAGCAAGTGGGGAAAACAGACTGTGCTATTGAGAGATTAAATATGTCCGTGAACACTCCAGCCAACTGGTCTGCGCATGCTCTGAGGACGCGGCTTGGGATGCCGTCTGTGCATGCAGCCTTGCGAGGGTTAACACGCTTAAATGTCTTACTCACGTCAGCCATGGAGATGGGAAGCACATAGTCCTCTGTACTGACGTTTTGACTCTTTTATTGCCTTACGGAGGTCATACAGTGGCTTGCGAAAGTATTCACCCCCCTTGGCATTTTTCCTATTTTGTTGCCTTACAACCTGGAATTAAAATTGAATTTTTGTGGGGGTGTATCATTTGATTTACACAACATGCCTACCACTTTGAAGATACAAAATATTATATACAGTGGGGGGAAAAAGTATTTAGTCAGCCACCAATTGTGCATGTTCTCCCACTTAAAAAGATGAGAGAGGCCTGTAATTTTCATCATAGGTACATGTCAACTATGACAGACAAAATGAGAAAGAAAATTCCAGAAAATCACATTGTAGGATTTTTAATGAATTTATTTGCAAATTATGATGGAAAATAAGTATTTGGTCAATAACAAAAGTTTCTCAATACTTTGTTATATACCCTTTGTTGGCAATGACACAGGTCAAACGTTTTCCTTAAGTCTTCACAAGGTTTTCACACACTGTTGCTGGTATTTTGGCCCATTCCTCCATGCAGATCTCCTCTAGAGCAGTGATGTTTTGGGGCTGTCGCTGGGCAACACGGACTTTCAACTCCCTCCAAAGATTTTCTATGGGGTTGAGATCTGGAGACTGGCTAGGCCACTCCAGGACCTTGAAATGCTTCTTACGAAGCCACTCCTTCGTTGCCCGGGCGGTGTGTTTGGGATCATTGTCATGCTGAAAGACCCAGCCACGTTTCATTTTCAATGCCCTTGCTGATGGAAGGAGGTTTTCACTCAAAATCTCATGATACATGGCCCCATTCATTCTTTCCTTTACACGGATCAGTCGTCCTGGTCCCTTTGCAGAAAAACAGCCCCAAAGCATGATGTTTCCACCCCCATGCTTCACAGTAGGTATGGTGTTCTTTGGATGCAACTCAGCATTATTTGTCCTCCAAACACGACGAGTTGAGTTTTTACCAAAAAGTTCTATTTTGGTTTCATCTGACCATATGACATTCTCCCAATCCTCTTCTGGATCATCCAAATGCACTCTAGCAAACTTCAGATGGGCCTGGACATGTACTGACTTAAGCAGGGGGACACGTCTAGCACTGCAGGATTTGAGTCCCTGGCGGCGTAGTGTGTTACTGATGGTAGGCTTTGTTACTTTGGTCCCAGCTCTCTGCAGGTCATTCACTAGGTCCCCCCGTGTGGTTCTGGGATTTTTGCTCACCGTTCTTGTGATCATTTTGACCCCACGGGGTGAGATCTTGCGTGGAGCCCCAGATCGAGGGAGATTATCAGTGGTCTTGTATGTCTTCCATTTCCTAATAATTGCTCCCACAGTTGATTTCTTCAAACCAAGCTGCTTACCTATTGCAGATTCAGTCTTCCCAGCCTGGTGCAGGTCTACAATTTTGTTTCTGGTGTCCTTTGACAGCTCTTTGGTCTTGGCCATAGTGGAGTTTGGAGTGTGACTGTTTGAGGTTGTGGACAGGTGTCTTTTATACTGATAACAAGTTCAAACAGGTGCCATTAATACAGGTAACGAGTGGAGGACAGAGGAGCCTCTTAAAGAAGAAGTTACAGGTCTGTGAGAGTCAGAAATCTTGCTTGTTTGTAGGTGACCAAATACTTATTTTCCACCATAATTTGCAAATAAATTCATTAAAAATCCTACAATGTGATTTTCTGGATATTTTTTTCTCAATTTGTCTGTCATAGTTGACGTGTACCTATGATGAAAATTACAGGCCTCTCTCATCTTTTTAAGTGGGAGAACTTGCACAATTGGTGGCTGACTAAATACTTTTTTTCCCCCACTGTATAATATAACTATTCACCCCCCCAATGTCAGTACTTTTTGTAGAGCCACCTTTTGCAGCAATTACGGCTAAAAGTGGTCCTATGGACAGATAACCCCGAAGGAGCTCCACAGCGGAGATTGGGGTATCTTTGGTGTCTTTGTTGCCTCTTTGATTAATGCCCTCCTAGCCTGGTCCGTGAGTTTTGGTGGGCTGCCCTCTCTTGGCAGGTTTGTTGTGGTGCCATATTATTTCCATTTTTTAATAATGGATTTAATGGTGCTCTGTGGGATGTTCAAAGTTTCAGATATTTTTTTATAACCCAACCCTGATCTGTACTTCTCCACAACTTTGTCCCTGACCTGTTTGGAGAGCTCCTTGGTCTTCATGGTGCCGCTTGCTTGGCGGTGCCCCTTGCTTAGTGGTATTGCAGACTCTAGGGCCTTTCAGAACAGGTGTGTGTATATATATATATATATATATACTGAGATCATGTGACACTTAGATTGCACACTGGTGGACTTTATTTAACTAATTATGTGACTTCTGAAGGTAATTGGTTGCACCAGATCTTATTTAGGGGCTTCATAGGAAAGGGGGTGAATACATATGCACGCACCACTTTTCCGTATTTTTTAAAAAGTGATTTTTTTTATTTATTTCACTTCACCAATTGGACTATTTTGTGTATGTCCATTACATGAAATCCAAATAAAAATCCATTTAAATTACAGGTTGTAATGCAACAAAATAGGAAAAACGCCAAGGTGGATGAATACTTTTGCAAGGCACTGTAGTTGGTTTGTTTGTACACATCTATTTTACCAGTCACCTTGCTGTGGTTAAATGCGGTGGTTTGCGCTTTCAGTTTTGCACGAATGCTGCCATCAATCCACTGTTTTTGGTTTGGATACATTCTAATTGTCACAGTAGGAACAATATATCCGGAGAGAGCCACGATTCCATAAAGCAGAGTATGTTACAGTCCCTTAAGTCTCTCTGGAAGAAGATCATTGCCCTGAGCTCATCTATTTTATTGTCCAGGAACTGATTGTTGAAGAGTAATATACTCTGAAGCGGTGGGTGGTATGCCTGTTTCCTGAGTCTGACTAAATCCCCACTTCTCCTCCTTCGGCGGGGATGTTTTGGAGTATCACCCGGAATGGAGTTGCCTCGGGCAGTTCAAACAAAGGGTCCAGGAA